GCTTCTTGTATTGTTGACTATGGAATAGAGGCCAACCCTCCCACTGAAAACATTTGGAAAAGCTGGACACAATGTAAAAATAAATCTGCTTGAGAGCACTGGAAAGCTAATGAAAGTTGTGAGGCCAAGATCTTGGGGAAGGATGAACCCCAGAGAGGTGAGCCGGTCACTTGGGACTACTTTGCCCATCCGTAGGGTGCCTGCCACTTTCAGAAGAGGCTGCTGAGGAGCTGAGAGACTGAGCAGGGCAATTGCCATGCTCAAGATGATAAGTCCACAGGAGTCCAGGTGCCTTCAAGCTGGGGGTATCTGGTAAACTCCCCGTGCTTGGGTTTGGGACTCCAAAAGACTCCACTCTAATAAAGAAAATAAAGGCATCTTTAGTAAAAACAAAGAAACAAACAAAAGACAAAAACAAAACTGAAGCATTTGGCAGAAGGAAAATCCTTCCAGATGGAGGCTTCGTGACATGAGGAGGAATGCAACACAAAGAAAAGGGCAAATATACGGGCATATCTTAAAAAGTTTAACTGCACAAAATAATAATAATAATGTCTTAGAAGGTTTAAAAATATAATACACAAGAGCACAAGTGTTCAAATTGAGATGTGGAGTTAAGTGTTCGATGGCATTGTCTGGAAAGGAGGAAAAGTAACGATTTCCATTAGACTTCGATAAATCAAGGAATCACGTTGTAACCTCTCAGGTAACCGTTGAAACAGTAGTGAGAGCAACTCTAACTCCTGTGATAATGGAGAGAAAATTGGAGTCTGTGTGCTCCATTCAGGCGGATTTCATAAATTGCATTTGTAATTTGTATCAGTCACACTTACTTTTTGTATTCTGTTTTCCCTTTATTTTGCTGTGTTACTTTTTTCTTCAAAACCCAGGATTGAGAGAAACCAAGCATTTCAAATCAAATTAAGGTAAAATTCAAACTGGAAGAGGCTTGACTGGAGAAAGTCACGTTTCCAAATGTGAATACCATTTGTTACAAGTTGAAGTGTATATCCCCCAAAAGTTTGTTGAAGCCCTAACCCCCCGAACCTCAGGACGTGACCTTATCTAGAAATGGGGTCATTGCAGATATAATTAATTATGTTCAAAAAGCATGTTAGGTCATGCTAGAGTAGGACAGGCACCAGACCCAGTAAGACCAGGGTCAGTGGGAGCAGAGGAAAATTTGGACACAGACGTGCACAGGGAAAGGTGGTGGCCGCGGGAGTGACAGGAATGCTAGGGGCAGCCAGAAACGAGAGGAGACAAGCGACCGTCCTCCCCCAGAGGCTGGGGAAGACACAGTGCACAGCAGACACCTTTGTTTTGGACTTCTAGCCTCCGAAATCATGAGATAATAAATTTCTTTTGTTTTAAGCCACCTAGTTTGTGGTACTTAGTGACAGAGGCCTTGGAAATGAATATACCACCTAAGGAACAAAACAGGAGCTCCTGCAGATCATGAGGAAGCTTTTACAAAGGGTCCAGATCCCAATCAATAATTGGAGATTGTTTAATCACATCAAAGCCACAGCGAGGTGGGAGGGTGGAGAGAAGCCAGCCAGAGCCTCTTGGGGATCTCTTTGATCCTGGAAAGCAAGGTGTGCTTCTCAGGGTGGGAAGAATGTGTCAGAGATGAAATGGCTCTGGAGTGAGAGTCTTAAGTGAGAATTCTCATCGCATTCCCCCTTGGGAACTCTGGGATATTAGCAGTGGCCTTTGAAGTCCAGGCTGCCAATGGGCCTGTCCTTCAGGAGTCCTGCTTGCCTGGAATAAGGCACCCAACAGGCAGGGGTGGGTAGAGACGGCATCGGGGTAGGGGGAAGTTGAGCAACCTCAGCCTTATGACATAGTGGACTAAGGGTGGGGATGTTTTTGCAGATCACACTGGATGATGCCATTCAAGTGGTCTCCGAATCAGTCAAGTTCTTTGAGGCAGGTGACCTGCTTACCTATCCCTCAGAAACCCAGTAATGAGCTGTAGACATTAGCAGGATGGTTGCTTTACCTGGGCATGACAGCTGACTCAGGCCAACTACACGTGAAGGTGAAACTCTAAGGTCAGTGGTTCCCACTCAAGGCATCCAGCAGAGGAACGAAGACTACTCCAGCGTAACAGCGGCAGGGACTAAGCTTTTAAGGATAGAAAGGAGCTGTCAGCTTCTTCAGACCCAGTGGGGCAAACAAAGGTACTTGGGGTCCCACTGATTCTGCTGGTGTGTGGTCCATGTCACAGCGCACTGAGATTCCTCCCAAGGTGTCTTTTCTCCGTTCCCAGACCAGTGCGAAAGGTCTTCTTAATCACAGTAGTAACCCACCTTCCACACACACGCACCTCCGGACTTGTGTGCCCCAGAGGGGCAGGAGTCTCACTTCCATCTTTGCTAGGGAGGATATTAAGGCGATTCCTACTTCCACGGTTTCCTTTTGGGGAGGAAGGTCAGAAGTATTACACCTAACAAGTTGCGACCAAATCACCAGGGCCAGATGGTGTCTTCAGGGTGAACCTGAAGAACCACTGGCCAAAGGGGTCTGCAGGAGACTGGCCAGTTTCTTGCAGACCCCTTTGGTGGGCAGAGGCCGGCTCAGAGAGCAAGTCCCAAAGGGAGGTGGTGGCGCTCTGAGAGTGTGCTTCCAGGCCCCGTGTACTGCTTATACCGCCGCTTGTGGAAACTGCCCCTTCTTACCAGCTCTGCTGAGATTTGGAATGTTTTTCTTTTTTTTCTGTTTCTGCTGTTGGAATTTGAAGTTTGAGATTTAGTGTGGTCATTCCAGTTACAAAGTTATGTTCTAGCCAGTTCCATTTTAAAATCGGAGCCCACGCACAACAGACTGACTCTTTCCAGGAACCTGTGAGAAAGGAGGGAAGACAGAGGAAGGAGGGAGGGTGGGGCACGTGGCCCCGCTTCACAGAAGAAGACACTGAGGCACAACGGAACTGTCCACTGTCACCCAGGGAGCAGCGGCACAGCCGGAGTGAAGGCCCTGAACTAGTGACTCAGCCCAGTTCACTGTGTTCAGAATGACTAATGAGTTGGGTTTTTTTTCTTGAGCTGTTGATTTTTTCTTCAAATCACATACTTACATGTGTGAGACTATTCTCCACACATACACACTCCCCCCCATTCCTACGGAAACACTTCCTATCATTCTGGGGGTGGGATGGGAACTGAGTCATGTGCCCCTGGTGCGTTTGGAGCTGCGGCCCAGCACCGGGGTATCTGTTTCACGCAGGACCACAAGTGCCATTCCTGTTTCTGGAGACTCTTGTCCTGCTCCCCACCCTCCCTGCTCCTCCTCCCCCACCTCTAAGGGGCTGTAGGAGCTGCCTCACTCTCAACTCATCCCCAACACACTCCCTCCATCCTTCCTCTCCCACCCCCTTGCCCCATGTTCTTGGTTCCCTACCCTTGGGACTGGGGACTTGATGTAATGCCTTGCTTCTCCATTCGGGGCAAAAAAAAAAAGGGGTCCTGGGGGGTCCATGGCAGTGTATCAGGGGCACTTGGTCATTCTGGATAAACAGGGTACACCTTCTTAGAGGACCGTGTTTATTGAAAAATTTTTGTGAGGGCTGGCAGAGGTTGGGTGATTTATCTGTTCTGAACAACTGTTTTCATGTTAGAGCACATGAGACCCTATGGAAGGTAGCACCAAGTTCTGAAAAGTGGCAGCTTCTGCTCCTATTCCCAGGTTTCCCCTGAGTACGGCTCGGCACTGGGGTGTTGGGGGAGGGTGACAATGGGAACCAGTCTAGGACAGGAAGGGAAGGAACAGGTAAGCACCAGGCACAAGTCCAAGCAGGGACATAGAGCGAGGCCATACAGCATGGTGGCTGAGGGCCTGGCCTCTGGACGCCAACATCTGGGTCCAGCTTCAGTTTCACATCTGTGTACCTGGACAGCCAGGTAAGCTCCCGAGCCTCTGTGTCTTGATCTTATCATCTCAAAACGGGGTAATGTTGACCTTAAGGATTCTGCTTTCAGGATTAAAAGGAATAATACATGACAGAATTTAGGCCAGCACCTGGGAGGGGAGGCAAGCTGAATTCAGAGGATTTGTTACCATCATCATGGGCAGAGAGGGCTTGCCACAGGAGCCAAAACAGTGTTGGTTTTCCCATTTTTATTTCTGGACATGAGCTGGGAGACAGAGTGCGTATGAAATTACCAAGCGTGCCCTGAAGCTGAGGGACTGAGAGTCGCAGCGAACAGGCCAGCAGAAGGCCGAGAGTCCACAGCTCCGGGAGCAGGAGGAGGACACACGAGCCCCAGCAGGTGCACAGGGAAGACGCACAAAGCACTATCAAAGGTGGCTGGCCCTTCCTTGGCACTTTTCCCTGTGCATGTGAGCGCTTGCAAAATGGGACTCTCATCTGCAGTTATGTTTACTCTTGGTGGCTGTTCAATGGAAAAAAAACAAATCATTCCAAATATTCTGTCCGCAGACAAAAGCTTTCAAACAGTGGGGAAACGTAGTGTGAAATGACAGGGACCAACCCCTTTGTTAACTTGATGTGGCCATTCAGTGCATCACGCTCTCACAGTTCATGAATTTGCACACACGGGGATTAAGAACAAAACAACAACCACAGCAACTCAGTCCTTAAAGAGTGAGTTGAAGGAAGAGGCCAGTTCTGTACAGAGCGGAGCATTCCTGCTGAGTGAGTGAAACACAAAACCAGGCTGCCCCAGGTACGAAGGTAAAAGAAACGGGAGGTGGAACTAGGCTAAGCCACATCTCTCCTCCCCAGCTCTGAGAATAGCTTTCTTTGTTGAGAGAATACACCTGAGGTGAGCCTTCTTCACTCCTCCTCCTTTCGAATCCAATTTTCTGGCCAGGTAAGTCCCTCCAGGTGCCCCGGTGGGAATAAAGCAGTCCACATTAACTCAGACTCCCATGCAAAATTAAAGCTCTGCCCAGGTCCTTTCACAGAACAGAAAGAAATGAAATGGATGCCGCCCTCAGAGGTGCCAGACCAAGCCCGCATGAAAATGTTTCAATTCCTTAGACATAAAGCCATTTATTTTTGGTTCATTTCAGTATTTATAGCAGTGCACATGTAACCCATTTCAATCCATACGAATAGTACCCAGTTGTGGGAGCAAATTAATCTTTTATGAGCTACTCAGCAGTGAGGTTAGAAGATAAACAGTAGGTGAAATAGTACACGCTCCTCTGCACGTGAACCTTCTTATTACAATAAACTCCTGCATTGGAGCTCACCACATCCAGTGGCTGCCACTCTCTCTGTTCATGCGGCAGCCCAAGTCGCCCCCTGCCACCTCCGCCATGCTGAGGGAGCTCTCTGATCAACCACCTGGGTGGGACAGGCTGCCATTTTCAGTTTGGAAGAAAAAGCCTGTAAATCTGCTTCCTGGGAAGACAGGCATTGCTGAATTGTCATCGGCCTCCAGAATGCAGAAAACATCAATTTCATTGCAGCTCATCAGAGTTGGAAACACCTGCCACTTCCTTTCTCAGTTGCAATTAACATGCTGTATCTCAGCATTGATTGATTCCAAGCAGCCTAACACAGTCAAATCAAGATTTAAATGAAACAGTGCAACGTGATATTTTTTACAGTTTTAGAAACACGAACTTATTTGTGTTTTTATTGCCAAAGGATAACTACAATAGTTAGGGCTATAAGTCTTTATGCTTAAGATAAATGTGAGTAGACTAGGCTGATGCTTATAATAAAAACAGTTCTTTATCTTTTTATTTATTTGGGAATGGTACTTGTTTATCTTTGGTTTTCTTTTCCTTTTTTTTTTTGGCGGACAAAGTGGAGGAATAATATTATTTCTGTATCCCAGCACTTAGTGCAAGGCTGCAGAATCCCATGGGTATTTGGAGAATGTTTATTAAACAAATAAATGAATGGATGTTTTGGGAAAGTAAGCTTAAGAACTGTTCCCTTGGTCCAACTTATGTAAAATTCTGAACTTAAGACCATCACGAGCGCTTTGGTTTAATTCAGAAGCTGTGAGAGACTATGAAATATGACATGAGGTGGGTTTTATGTCTCATTCAAAGTCCTAAATTGCTCAGCCTTGATCACCAGTGTTCCTTTAAGGGACAGCAAAGGCTGTGTCTGTTTTCACCATAATCTTACTCATATTGCATACAAAGAAACTGTCTTCAAAATGTATAATATTATACATTTGAGGGTCTAGGGACATCCTCTGTTGTGAATAAGGAATGGAATCATTTAAAATACTTTAACAGCCACAATATTTGTGTTTTTTTGGAAATGATCTTTGAAATAGTTTTTACATACCGGTAAAACTGAGAGCCAGTGTAAGTAGAAGGCTATTAAGTATGAGATTTATGTTTTTGCTTGGCCAGATAAGACATAGTCTTAAACCACAGACCATAGTCTTTGAAAGAAAAAGTGAACAAATTGCTTCTCATATGTTAACAGAAAACCAGGGCCAAGAACTACCTTCTTTCTGAACCTTCTTGGGAGAGTCTTTCTTTTAGATGGAAATAGAACAAATGAAAGTAAGTGGCAATTAATTCTTTTGTGCAACAATGACCCAGACACTGCACACTTGAGCATCACCTGTTAACTATGTGCGAGCATCCAATAAAGCACTTTTATGTGACTTACTGAAAAGACTGGGCTTAAATATTTCTGCATATTCTACAATGGACACTGAAGTTATATATCCTCTTCTTAAAATGAGTTCATATTCCTGGGCATCCATAGTCTCACCTCCAAATGCTTGATGGCTGAAAATATTAGTCTGTCTCCATAAATATTTAATATTATACAACTCACTGCCATCAACATCTGAGTTATTTGTATGTTAAATAGCTTATATACCAATATCTTAGTGATAATAGGTCTTCTCCAAATTATAACACAGGAAAACCAGAATTATGAGGAAAGCTTGTTAGTGATTTCCACCAAATAAATAAAAATAGATAAATAGCCATAAGTGACATAGTTTTCATAGATAGGTAGATAGATAGCTAGATGCCAATACATATTTCCTAATAATAGAATTCAGGCACTAAATGACTTGATTCTTTAAAAAAAGAAGGAAGGAAGGAAGGAAAGAAGGAAGGAGAAAGAAAGAAAGAAAGAAAGAAAGAAAGAAAGAAAGAAAGAAAGAAAGTATGAATGAATGAATGAAAGAAAGAATGAAAGAAAGAAAGAAAAGAAAAACAAGAAAGAAAGAGAGAGAAAGAAAGAAAGAAGGAAAAAAAGGAAAACAACCCTACAACCTTAGGAACTTGCTACGCCATGGAAAGATTGCATTTAATATAACCCAAAACACTGGCTGACTCAGGAGATCCTGTTACACTTCTGATTTCTGGCTCGTCGGTGGGCCACATTGGGGAACACAGGCAACACCTCGGAAAGAAGTAGTTCATGGATCACTTACACTGAGGGAAGTTAGGTCTTCAGTCAGAACCAACTTCCGCAAAGCACCTTACGTCCAATGACACATTTAAACACGGAGAAATGAGGGAGGCCAAACATACAACAGCAAAGGGTTCCTCAGTCTGTCTCTCACCAACAACAGCCAGAATCTTCAAAGGATCCCATAAAGGGAAAACAATCAAATACTTTAAGACCACAGATTTCCACTTGAAATCTTTTCTTTGGTTCCATGTGAACTATCAAAACATCCCAGGAATTCCACATCAGTGCACAAAATCCATCTCCCAGCTTTCCTGTACATTGAAAATGTCATTGGAAAACATCCATGACCCAGTTTCAGATTTGGTAAATGGGGTCACTGCACTCAGCTTCACCCTGAAGTCAGAGTGGTTTTGTCCTTGTCCCGTGGGGTTCCTGGGCAATCCCTGCAGAGTCTCATGGTCACCTCTGTGCTGGGCCTAAGAAGACCACCGCCGGGACAGATTGCTTACCTGGCATCACTAATGTATTCATTTCTAGGCAGCACCAACCTCACCCATATTTTATCAACAAATAGAAGAGTTTCTCTGTTTGCCATTTCCAACGGTTGTTTAAAAATTATTCATTTTCTAAAAAACACTTTCCAGTATGTTTCAAGGGCCTCAAGGACAGGACTCCAAGAATATAAAGCTTTTCTAAGCCAACAGTATTGGGTGAAAACTAATGATCCTGCTGGTATAAAGTTAAAGTTTTATTTCCTTTCTCTCTTTCTTTTTTAATAAAATTAAGGCTCAAATGTTCTATTAAACTCTCATTGCTTATGTATATTATATTAAGGCTTATAAATACACCTGGTAAATTAAATTCACCCTGGATTGAATTAACACCTGCTATGTGAGTTATTTGCTCTGTGTAATCAGTAATCTCAAGGTTTCTCCTCTTTCTCTGGAAACACAATTTAAGTATTAACCTAATCTTTAAACTGCTGCTGCTTCCTTCTGACATTTGGAAACCAGTCATCCATGCAAAAAAAAAAAAGTAAAAAGGGTAAATATGGATATATTAATGAAAAGGCAGCTTCTTAAAAATCTTACGATGTGTAACTCAATGAATTGGGCTGAGAAATGATAAAAAGCAGGAGGAAAGTCAATCTCTGTGTCAATTTCTAGGGAAAGCAATGCCGGTCATCTGCCAAGGTCAACTCCAATCAGAGAGAACTGCTGAAGTTGACTGCCAGTTTCAAAAGTGTCTTTGTATTTTCTTCATTATGATCTCTGGAAGGATCTGGGGCAGCTGTAGCACATATAAGAGAATTTCAATTTTTTAAAACATATTGCAGGATGGTACAACTTAAGTTGCAGAGATGACAAACCCTGCAAAAGGAAACAGGAGTGCATGCGGTGGGTGTGGTGGCTGGATTCGGTCCTTGGCTGACTTCGAGGGACAGGGCCCCTGCTCACGTCCTGCTCAGCTGACAGCCTCTGGAGAATATGAAGCTTTCAAAGTGCTGGTCTTCTGCCTTCTCTTTTATGCGTTGTTCCTCTAAGGAATCCACGAGCTTGTCCCTCTGCTCAATCACTTGCATCATCTCGGTGAATATTTCTCGCTCCTCATTTAGATCGTTCTCATCTTTCTGGCTCTCTAAAGAGAGAAAAAGAAAACATTGGACCTCAGGTAAGATTTGGCCCCGGGAGAGCTCTTGGCCTCTGCATTCTTGATTGTTCTGGACTTGTTCTGCCCTTTAATTTCCATGGAGAAAACAAGGAAATGAATTGAACACCAGGGAACTGCTCTCAAAGCCACAGATTAGAACGGTGAATGCTTTGTGCTGTAGTCAGCTCACTTTCCATCTTGAGAATATATATAAGGTGATAGGAGAGAACCCCTTTGTAAGAAAAAGAAGTTAATACCAGCCAAGCCCTACCAAGGTCTCCAAACTTCCCTCTTCGGAAAAAAAAAAGTCCCACAAACAACAGAAAGGCTGTTTTCTCTAAACATGTCTGAGCTACAGCAAGAAGAGTTTCTAAAGTAAATTGTGCACCAATGGCTAGTATTTCAATGACAAGAATCCTTTTTCAATTTATAGTTAATGACAAATTGTAGACCTTTGGGGCAGGAGCAAAGTGAGGCTACAGCTGGACAATAGGAAGATGTTTCCAAACTATGACTACTTTTTCCTTTAGCCTTTTGGAGTATGTGACCTTCTTCTTAAATAGCCAGAGACAGCCCATTGCCTGGGGGAGATGAGACTATTACAAAAGCAAGGGAAGAGTAAGAAACAGGTACTGCAGTAATGACTTTCTGACATTCAAAATAGGACTTTAAAGCCAAATTTAAGTCTTGTTGGCCAGATTATTGCCTTGGGACAGAACTTCACAAATTCCTTTAGCCCCTTCCATTAAACACACCGGGACTAGTCAGAGAGCCCCATCCCAGAGTGGAGAAGGGGCCACTGTCTCTCACATCAGTCTTGGTTCTGAGGCAGGGTCAGCATGAAGGCACATATGACAACAGAGAGAGAAAGAAGCACCATTCCCTTTGCAGCACAGGAGAGCTCTCTCTGTGTTCCAGCCTCTCCATTATGGTCCTTAGAAGCCCCCAAGGGGGCAGGAAATGTCTTGTTATTTGCTAAGAATGCCCAAGGATTCTTGCCTTGCCTCTTGTTTGGAATTCCAGGAAGAAGCCAGCTGGAAGGGGCAGGAGTTGATGGTTACCAGGGGGCAGTACTTGGTGGTTGGGCAGACAAGTAGGGCATGAGTGTGACTCCCCAGACCTTGATCAGCTGTGTGTGGCATGGGTGGAGCCTACCAGGGTTCACTTTCCCCAGAGCAGCCAAAGGAAGCTGGCCAGTGGGCCACCTGGGGCTCTCTGTGGATGAGGAGTGGAGTGGCTCCACAGCTGAGACTGGATGGGGAACTGTCTGGCCAAGGTAACTGGAGGACATGCTGAGGAGAGGCCAGTGAGCCATGGAACACCGCCAGGCTCCAAGCACACCGAGAGAATGGCAGGCTGTGGGTTACACCAGCCACACAATTTAGCTGCAAATGCCAGAAGGGGTGGGGGGGGGTGGCAGGGTCGGGGGATGACAGGAGATAGCTGTGAGGGGACTTGATGACTCAGCACAACCCACACAGATTCCCAATGCCAGAAAGTCATACAAACAGGCCTCTTCCCATTACCCGGCAGTCACCTTAGGGAGAAAAGCAAAAGGAAGGGGTGGCCATCTGCAAGATTGAACATTTTCATTCCAAAGAGACTGAGCATTTCCTATAGGGACTGTTTAAAATATTGCATCAGACTAAGTTTACCAGAGAAGGATATATAAAGTTCTTTTTTTTTCTTGTTAATTAGGGGAATGAGGCTCTTGTGAAAGATGAGCTTAGTTAGGTACAGACAGAATGAAGAAGCTACATATTTTTTTGTACACCTGAGAGGAGAAAATGTATGACCATTACTCCTTAGTAACAATTTTTTTAAAAAAGGAATTGAACATTGGCTAATAAAGTCTTTGGTGGTATTTATTTTTGTACCCTGAAACGGAGGAAATTAAAATTGTTATCAGATGTATAAGTCAGACATTAGTTCTCTACCATGGTTTGTTAATTTAGGTGTATTGCAGTTCTGGTACTCCTTATTTGATCATCAACACAGAAAAAAATTACATTCCTGTCTTAATTTCAGTTTGTTGAACACTTTCCAACTGTATAGTACAGCTCTTTATGATTTTGTTAGAAATAGAACTCTGTTGCTATAAAGAAACAGTCTATAAATCATTACTAACAGGAGAATCTGAATCTCTGGTGATTTGTTCTTTAATCTTAGCCCTATGATTTACCTTGAGCATGCTTGTTAAGTTCTCAAACTCAGTTTTCTGAGTTTGAGAATCTGTAAAATGGGGGTGAAATGCCTAAATAAAAATATTCACGATGATGATATCTAATAGTTACTAAATACTTGCCCTGTACCAGGCAATGCCATAAGTAGGTACAATGTTCTGTTCATGAGGTATAAAGAAATTATTTGATTTGTGTTTTTAGAATCTAGGTCTTTTTTTTAATTTTTAGAAATATGTTTATTGATTCTTAAGGAAAGAGGAAGGGGGAGAGAGCAAAAAACATGAATGTGAGAGAGAAACATCAATTGGTTGTCTCCCATACCTGCCCCAACCAGGAATTGAACCCACAACCTGGGTATGTGCCCCAGTTGAGAATTGAACACCTACCTTTTGGTGTACATGACAACACTCCAACCAACTAAGCCACACCAGCCAGGATTAGACCTAGGTCTTTTTTTTTTTTTTAAGATTTTATTTATTTATTTTTAGAGAGGGAAGGGAGGGAGAAAGAGAGAGAGAGAAACATCAATGTGCAGTTGCTGGGGGCCATGGCCTGCAACCCAGGCATGTGCCCTGACTGGGAATCAAACCTTACACTTTGGTTCGCAGCCCGCACTCAATCCACTGAGCTACGCCAGCCAGGGCTAGACCTAGGTCTTAATGTAAGAAAGCCATGCACGGATCTGCCCCCATGAACACACAGGCGCAGAACAGAGTGACTGCCCAACTGGCTGGAGCCAATGAATGTATAAGTCAATACAGCGTGTCAATTGGGTTTATTTCAATTCTCTGTCCTTCATGGTGAAAAAACTTTTCTCACATACAACACCCGGGTCCAGCCCATGCTGGGAAGGATGTCCCCTCCATCACCTCCTCTGCGGTTCCCAAGCACCTGTGTCACAGCCCTCATCTCACTGCACCATGATTACTGCACTGGGTGCTGATCCCCGCAGTGAGACCACAGGGCACAATGGATCTTCTCCATATGCCAGGAACACGCTAGGTTCTCCACAGATACTTGTTAAAGGAGTGAATGGATAAGTGAACAGATGTGTAGATAAATGCCTTTGTGTTCTGTTCACACTTGGGATGGAGCAAAGTGCTGCTCTCATAGCTCACATGAATGAAGCTAAATAGGGGTTTGCTGTGCTGGTGGTGGTGGGCGGAGGGAAGGCCAGCTTTGTGCTCCCCTCTGACTCCCAGGCAGGAGGGGCATGTCGCTGTGCGATTTGCAGCGTGCCCTGCTCAGGTGTCTTTCTGGGGGAAAATGTCTTTAACAAGGACCCAAAAGGTATCATCATACTCACCCTCCTTGAGCATCTTCTCTCTTAATTTCTGCTGCAGTCTGCTTTGGTGGTCTTCTAATTCTAGTTCTTGAGCCCTAGGGATGTGAAAGCATTCAAACCTTAAAATACTAGAGACCTATGTAGACACATTGACAAATAAACCCATTGACAGAAGCTACTGCATTCTTTTTTCCTTACTAAAACTGGAACGGAATATCTCTGAACGGAAAGTTTTGCTGCTGCAGGGGTCATCGAAGGTGCCGGGAAGGATTGCTGAGATGTGCTGAACTCAGGAGATGATGGGGAGCAGCTGAAGGTTGAGATGTGCCCCTAGCAGGTTTTGGGAAGGTTATTCATGCTAACCTCTTACTGAAGGATCATAAAGAAATGGCTAGTACAGTCCAGAAGATGGGGAAGCAATGACAGGCTGAAATTCTTCTCTATTTTGGGGGCAACATGGCTTCAAGTATCCCCTCAGACAACTCCCAAATCTCTGATTATAGTGGACAAGAAAATGAGAAAGCAGGAACAGGAGCAAGATGTTCTGTCCAGATGGAGGCAATAAAGCTCAGACAACTGTCTGGGTATAGGAGCTGGGGAAAGAAGAGTCAGGGATGCTTTGTACAAGTCAAGCTAGATCACTGGGGATTCAGTGTCTCCACTGAGAAGAACAGCAGAGAAAGAATGAAGTTAGTCCTTGGCGAAGCACAATTTGGAACTTGACCTTTGAGTGCCTGGGAATATCTCATGTATATCACAGAATGTGTGTAAGCTCCCCACATGCTAGGCCACGTGGAGCTTCTCCAGACCTTTGGGAATGCAACTCTGGAGTTCTTGGGAGAAGCAAGGATCACAAACAGAGGTGGCAAGGGTCAGAGGGGGTGGTAGAAGTCATGACACCCCTAAAAGGGAGACTCTAGAAAAGAAAAGTTTTGAAGACAAAAGTTTTGTAATGCCTACATTTAGAAGTCAAACAAAAGAGGTGGAGCCAGGGAAGAAACATGTAAGACATTGGAAGGACAAAACAAGAAATGCAGTGTCACAGAGACCAAGAGCGATGTTTTGAGAGGCAAGAGAGAGGTGAAGGGTGTGCAGTGCTACACAGATGTTGAAGAGGTGAGGCTGAGACTATGCCCCTGGGTTCGACATGGTGTCTCGACCCGCTGCAGCTTACATGCGTATCTGCTATAGAGTCAGGGTCACTTTGCTAAACCCTATTGTTGCTCTCATTACTTTTACTACTTCTACTACTCGGGCAAAGGTCCCTGCTTTGTTTAATGTTCTACCTTTTGTTACTGACACTGAACTTCTGTTGGCCCAATGTGGTAGCCAATAGAGTTGAACCTCTCAGATCTGCCCTTAAGAGAGAATTTTCCGGGAGGAGTGTAATGAGCTGACTGCTGCTGCAGAAGCCATTCAATGTCATGCTGAGGGCACGCAGTCCCCACCACAGGTCCCAGACAATGGCAGTACTAGAGCTGGGCCATTCCGCCCAAATTTAGACTCCTGATGGGCAATCCTCCTTCTGCTGTGCCCCCTGGCCTCGCTGATGCTTTCTCAGGACTCTGCTGCTCAGGCTCCTCCTGCCCAGTTCTCGGTCCTTTCCCCGCTCCTTTCACAGGTCTCAGGACTGCAGTGGGGCACAAAGACTTCCCTCTCACTCCTGCTGTCTTTCCCTCATCCTTCACAGGCATTTTCCCAACACCTCTCTTGTACTTCAACCCTGTCTTGACATCTGCTTCCCAAAGAACCCAGATGAATATTTCTCTTGTTTCTCCAGGTCTATCTCCAAACTAAAACCTATCCTTTAACAAAGCTCCTGCCTGCCTTTGTCAAGCTCATATGCCCAAGTTCTTCTCTTTGACCACTTTGGGAAGAGAAAGGTCCCCCTGCAGCATGCTAATGGGAAGCCCCAGTCACTGAGCAGCAGCGGCAGCAACAGCCAGTGCCCCTGTGACTCTCTCAGGTTGACCCTGTGTAGACTGCTCCTTGTATAAACCTCCATGGAGCCCTTGCCGTGTTTTCTTATCACTACTGTGCTATGTGTTTGCCGGTTTGCCTCCCCTGAAACCATGAGAACCTAGAAGATAGGGACTATGGCCTCTTTCATCTATATTTCCACAGTACCCAGCACAGTTCCTGGCACCTAGAATATAATATGCTTCATACATTTTTGTTGAATGAACTTTATAATTCAGACCTAACACCCAGGCAGATGGTATGGTTGTATAAAAAGGGTTTTGTAGTCGGGTCACCACGAACAAATTACTTAGTCTGTGAGCCTCAGTATGTGCATCAACTTAAAAAAATAGTGACAGGAAAAACAATGACTACAAATAACCCCATCTCCCCCATTCCTAGAATTTTCTTCCATGTTAGTGGAGCTCAATGAGTATAACTCCTGGCCTCCACCCCAGCCCCCTCTCTTACTCACCCTCTCCCCAGGAGGGTAAATGTGGAAAGACTAGTCTAAGTAAACTCATCTTGCACCCTTTCTCTCCTGGGATCAGCCTGCCTGCCGCAAACATGTGTTCTTGATCACACTGAGCCTTGCCATTGGTCTAGGGCAAGGTTCCTCAATCTTAACACTGTTGACATTTTAGGCTGGATAATTCTTAGTTGCTGGTGAAAGGGGTGTTCTGTGCATTGCAGAATGTTTAACAGCACTGATGGCCTCTACTTACCAAATACCAGTAGATAGATCCTCTTAGTTGTAACCACTGAAAATGCCTCTGGACATGGCCAAATATTCCCCAGGGAGGCAAGATCATTCCCAGTTGGGACCCACTGGTCTAGTGTAAAAGCTTTGCACTCAAGAAGTAAGTGGTCCATTACATTTTGTGATAAGTATGTCTAATTCTGGAGTTTGGTTAGTACCGTGGGTTGAATGGTGACCCTGAAAGAAATGTCCACATCCCAACCTCTGGAACCTATAAATGTGAATTTATTTGAAAAAAGGTCTTTGCAGATGTAGTATATAATTAAGTTAAGGACCTTGAGGTAAGAACATTCTGGATTATCCCAAGAACTCTAAGTCCAATGACAAGCATCCTTACAAGACAGAAAAGGAGAAGACACAGAGACACAGAGGCCACGTGAAGACAGAAGCAGAGATGGAGTGATCTCTGTGGAGATCTATGTGGAGTGATGCAGCCACAAGCCAAGGGATGCCTGGAGCCACCAGGGGCTGGAAATGCAGAGGGAGTATGGCCCTCTTAACATCTTGATTCAGATTGCCCTCTTCCAGAACAGTGAGAGAATAAATTTCTGTTGTTGTAAGGCACACAGTTTGTGGGAACTTGTTACTCCGGCTCTAGGATGGTAACACAGATGACAAGCTCACCTGGGCTCTCACATTTAGAAAAGCCATTATCAGTAATAAAGGTCATCTTTACATGTTTCATCTGTTGGCTTTGTCTTATTTCTCACCTGGTTGAGCACCCAGCCAGGGCAGAGGAATAGAATTCATTAGACCTCTTCACAGACCTCTCCCCTGCACCCCCATAAAATAACCTCTCAAGATTGGGGTGAAATAAAATGAAACAGCATAAGTGAAAGCACCCAGTACAACTTGTGGCACTTAATTGCTTTATATTAAATGTTTCTTTCTCTCTAGAATGATGATAGGTATAGTGACCTTTGACTTGGTCAGAGTGTGTTGAGTTCCACATCCACTTTCTGATCTCCAAACCAGGCTACAATCCCCCTTTCGGAGAGAACAGCCAGACAGATCTCAGTCCTTCAGTCGGTTAATGCCACAAGAAAGTGCCCAGGCAGCTCCCACCCAGCCTTTCCTGTGGTTCACGTTCAGAGGCCAGAGACAGGCTTCCCCACTGCAGCTGTGTGATTGCAGGTGGGTCCCTTGGTCTAGGCGACAGGCGTGGATTGAAAATGCTTTTTCCAAATGCCCTGCAGCTCCAGACCCATTACCTGAAATTTATTTTAGCTATAGGACTTCACAGAGAGAATAGACAACTGAAGACTCTCTGCACTAATGCCAGCATGATATGCAAGACATCAAATATCAATTTGCCTCAATCACTATTCTGTATGCACAAGACGAAAAAATCCTGGGACTGCAACCTAGGAGGGTGAGCCACCCCACTTCCGTTCCGCTTTGCGTTTAGGACTCACTGTTATCTGTGTTGCCTTACTTACATGATCAGTAGCTCCGACTCATATCGCATTAATTTATTCTTCTCCAGAACCAGCTTAAACCATTCCTGCAAAAGCTGTGCTTCATCCTGTGTGCCTGAATCTGCTTAAGAAATCAATGACAAATGGGTTAGATTGGCGTTTCTCTCCACATGATCAAACTGCTTTGGAGCTACTTTAACAGACCATGTTTGTAGCAAAAAGGGCTCAGCAGGCAGCAGCTCCCTGATGGCCTGTTGATGCCTCAAGGTCAGGGACTTGGCAAATAAAACCCACCTGTGCATGCTCTAAAGGAGGTCCTCTTTGACTTTTAGTGCATGAATATTTTAATTCCAAGGTCATATGCCCTTGATAATGTCCTGCCAAGTGACCCTTCTCCTGTCCATTTGTATGTTCTCAGTAAAACTTCCATACGTTTGTGCATCACATCCTTCACCCAACAAAGCCCTAATAACCCTGCCAGTTACTACTGCCTTCTCCTTCTTCTCCTCCAGAGTCAAATGCCCACTGAGTGCCCAGGTAGGGTGTGGCTTCCTGCATGGGGCAGAGAAGCTCATTTGGTCATAAAGGAATGGTGATTGTCACTTAGATTTTTTTGCAAATGAAAAGGCAAATGATGGGGGAGGGGAGTGTTACTAGCTTTCAGACTCATAAGAAGAAAGTTATATCCATATATTCTTACAACTTAGATTATAATCTTTATTAAATAGAAGAATAACCATGAGAAAATAAACACTGCTTTTAGACGGTCAATATTAGATGCTAAATGTCTGGATACCAAAATGTTAAAATCTGGGCATATTTGAGAAGCAGCAACATGGAGGTGGCTTTCTAGAATTTCACCCTGAGATGAGAACACAGGCTGTATTGCAAAGCTCATAGGCATTCTAGAAGGATTCATACTAGAGGGTCTAGTAGGCAGAGCTCAAAACAATGCAGACAGAAAATATGTATGCCTTTGGGTAAGATTTTTGGAGTCTCTGCTTCTTCACTGGTTAAACTGAACAGTAAGATATATGGGTAATATAATAATAATAGTGAGCTACCGTTTACTATGCAACTCCTATGTGCCAGTCTATGTGCCTTATAGGCAGCATCTCATTTAATCCTCACAACAAACTCACCAGTCAAAAGTATCACCCTAATTATCACCACTTGCCAGCTGAAGAAATAGAGGTTTAAGAGATTAAGTAAGTGGCAGAGGCAGAGCTTGAACTCAAGTGAGCCGTGTCCTAAACCCATGCTTTCCACTGCGTGTGTAGCACTCTCTCTCCTTTCTCCCTCCCTCTCGCCTCCTCATAGGCATGTAAGGTAAGTAATGCCTCTAGCACATTGCCTTGCAGATAACATAGCAAGTCATCCATAAAAATAAGTTCCCTTTTCTCCCTGTCTCTTTGACCACCTTTTTGTTGATAGGGAAAATGGGGTTCAGAGAGATTTATATGTAATGCCCCCAAGTTACATACTTAGTTCATGTGTAAACTGGTACTACAATGCAATCTTACCTTCTGGTGAATTCATTCATTCATTCATTCTTCGAACAATCCCTATTTATGAAATAGGTGTTGGGAACTGCCTTAGGTACCTGGGCTATGGTGATATATAATGCTACATATCACAAGAAATTTGGAAATAATAAGGCATAGTACCGGCTAAAAAGTGTATTTACTGTTTGATAATCTTTTGGATCAGATGGGCACAAAGAGCTGGAATAAAATAGAACACTAGAAAACTGTCACTGCAACAAAGCAGCAAGAGAGGACTCTGGGAATAAACAGAAGGGCAGGCTTTCCAGGTCAGGGCATGAGGATGGGCTTCCCAAGAAGGCAGTGTTTGAACTGGGAGGTTGAAAAATGGATAACACTTTGAGAGGAAATAATGAGGATGGGAGAAGACTTTTATAAGAGGAGGGAACAATATGAGCAGAGATGAAGGAATGGGAGAAGGTGGGGGAACAGAGATTGGGAAGGGCTGAGGAGGCAAGGAGGGGTGGATGATACGCCTGGAGAGTGTGTGATGAGCTCATCATAGAGGCCGCTGTACATCATGCGAAGGCTCATGTACTCTGTTCTACTGAATACAAAGGGACACTAAAGGTGGCTGGATAGGAGAATGATATGTAAAGTTCTACACAGGAAAGATTAGAGGGGGAGAGTGGAGAGGGAAATAAGTAAGATGTTATTCCTCCTTAAGTTTCTTGACTGACTTAATAAACGAATGAATGTGTGAACAAACTTATAAACATGTTGAGTACCAACATCTCCTAAGCATTGTTTGTGGTGCTGAGGGACAGAGATGAATAAGGATTGATTCCAGCTCTTTGGGAAATTGGGAGCTTGCAGTCCAGTGGGAGAAACCAATACTACGTGGCCAAATAGAATATGATGTGCCCCTTGCTATACAGCACAGAAGAGAAGCAACTGATCTTGTGTTGGAGGGAGTGGGGAACAGCCCCAGAGAGGAGACAGCAGGTGAGCTCTGTCTAAGTGGATGAATAAGAGTTTTCCAGGGAGAGAAGGAGGTCAAGAACAAGGCATTCCAGGACAGTAGCTGATGAGCAGAGGAATGAAGTATATAGACTAGGAATCATATATAACATAGAAGTTAAGAGCATATATTTTGAACTGAGACCTGGAATCAAACTTCCATTCTTCCACCTACCACTGTGGGCTTGAGCACTTAGCATAGCCTCCCTGAACTGCAGTCTCCTCCTCTGGTATGAAGATGCAGTGGAACTGTCCCCACAAAGAACTTAATCCAGCTCTGGTACGTGGTATAAGCTTAATAAAGGGTAATGGTCATAATTCAAACAATATAGTATGTGTCATGGAGGAGCCCTAGCAGTCATCTGTTCCCCATGGAGACATGTAGGAATTCCCTGCATCGCCCCAGCCTGCAGCCTCCCACTCCTTCCGCTGAGGGTGGGATTCCTGGCTATCTAAGAAGCTCACTGCAAGGCACTGTACTCCTAAGTATTGAAAACTTCTTTCTACTGGAATTTGATGGGTCGGCTACTAGCCACTGAGTCCAGTTTTGCCCTCTAGAGGAACACAGGCAATACGTACTACCTATTTTACATGAAAGACACTTGGACATTTGAAGGCAGGTCTCACAATCCACAGAAGTGTTCTTTTTTTTTTCAGAGTCAGGACCTCTAGGTTATTTATCATTTTGTCATAAAAGGGCTGCCCAGGTCTGCTTGCCCTGTAACTTTCCGGGATATATCTTAAGGAAAATGAAGAAGCAAAATATCAACAGCCCGAAGTGGAGAGATCCTCTTGTGCCCCCACCCTGTGCCCTGGGATTGCAGAAGCCTTGTCTTCACGGGATTCTAACTGGCTTGCAAATGAATGTGGTCTTTTCACCCCAGTGGTGGCGAAGTCTGACAAATGGCTCTATGTTGTTTATGCAACTGATCTTTTGCTTAACCTAATTCAAGACTTTCTACGTATCTTGTTAAATATCTTGTTTCTTTTGTTCCATCAAAGGAAACCTTCTGGCCATTTTATCCATCTGACACATTTTCCTAGATTTGGGATTTCTGTGGAATTGATAAATGACCATCCTGTACCTTTATGTGGTGTTGAAAACCAAATGTCAGATGGGACCGGATGGAGGACAGAGCCATCCGACCCACTGAGGGACCTCTTTCAGCCTCTCGGTGAAATGGTCCTATAGACTGGTATGCTCCAACCTGCATTTCCATACCTTGTCTGTTAGTCTGTCACAGGAAACTTTGGCGACAAAATAACTTCACAATGTCGGCCACGCCCACTGGCACTACAGACCTTGTAGCCACACTCAGAAAAGGACATAACATTTGTTTTTCACAGCTTCTCAGTAAACACCAGCGGTTCCTTAGTAATTGTTAAATGTCTTTCTAAATATGTACAATTTTTAAAAATAATCCTATCTGGAATTTTGACAAGGGCTCAGAATTTATGTTTCCTTCCCATGCAAAAAGTAGAAAATGCACTCAACTCTAGTCTTTTGGCCCTGGACTTCTTCATGAGTTTTCAAAGACTGAGATTATACCTGCACATTTGTTTTTTTCCTCAAAACCAGAGGGTTAATTTGGTTTGTTCAACAAGTTCTGATTGACTAGTCACATCCAAGACTCTATGCATGTATCATCTTTCACTGGAGCTTAGAAACCTGAATGCATTGCTCTCCTGTTTTTCTCACCTATCCAGATTCCATTTCCTCTTCTAGATAGTTGTTTAACATTTCTAGATTGAGGACCATTTGCCTCGATGAAGAAAACAGAAAAGCTGAGAGCTGAGAATCCTGTGGCTCCCCCTCATGTAACATGAACCATCTGCCTCAGCCCTGGCCCACCCTCCCCCTGGTCCCCATCCAGAAGAAACAGCTCTATTTTGCCATCTTTAGAGTATTTTTTTTGTTGTTTGTCAGATTCAGCCTCTTTGCTACATTATACTCACAGGCTCTAGCCAGACTTTTATCTGGGATAACATGTCCCTTTTTCAATCTTCCTTATGCGTCCTTCTAAAATCTTGTCCATCGGAGAGCTCCCTGCACACCACACTGATTTCTATTGATGCTGGACTCAACAAACACAAGTTGAACCAAATTAACTGATTTAATTTTCTTTTTTCAATAAAATAACTTGTAATTTTATAGCCCACAGTTCATTTTTTTTAAGAGTCTTTATTTCCTCAGTCAAAAATCCCCTTTTGGGGATCTTTGAACATGGACTCAATGTGCCAATTCCTAGGAAATCTGCATTTCCCCAGCACTGGGCGCAGTGACTGCCAAGCCCAGGCGTGCCCTGCTCTCCACCCCAGCCATGCACTGAGACTTCACTCCACAACTTCCCTCAACTCACTGCCACCCGCCAGATAGCTCCCTTTGGGGTCCTGATGAAGCCCAGACCAGCATTGTCCCTCGTGTAGGTGCAGTGGAGCGAGTGGCAGAGGGCCTGGGCTTTGAGATCCAGCAGACCTGGCTTAGCCACTTACAAAGGAGCCTCTCATGTCTCCCCCCTGGTCCCTTCCTGCAAAAAAACAGGGATGATGGTAGTACCTGTCTCATAACTGGTTATGGGGACTGAATTAGATGATGCATTGAAATGCTTACCATAGT